AGTAATTATCCGTTACTTTGTATTCGTTACTCAAGAAATACCGGAGTAACGAATACAAACTTTTTATTGTATTCGTTACTTTTACTCATTTTACCAATGAGTAGTATTCGTTTTACCTACTCTTTTGAGTACTTGGTAACGATTACTTTCAACAGCTGTTTTCGCGGTTTAATAACAACTACTATATTCAAAAATTTTGTTCGTTTTCAAATTTATTAAAAATGTGTGAAAATATTAATAATAAAAAAAAGTGAAATTTGGATTCATTTTGAACCAGTAGGAAGTGAAAAAGCTAAATGCAGATTATGTGGAACAAACTATTCAATAAAAGGTGGTTCTACTTCAAATTTGAGAAAGCATTTAAACATTAAGCATCCCACGGTCCTAAGCGCCGTTAAACGGAATCGTGAAGTTGCTTTCCATGAAGTACTTGGCGAAGGTAAAGCAAATTTTATATATAGTTTCACTATGATAAAGCAAGTTCATTTACTATATAGGGAGTAGCAGTACTAACTCACCAACGGTAGTTCCATCAACCCCTGGTTTGGTGGCTGCACCAAGAATAACGCAAACTTCTCTTGAAAGTTTTGTAATGCGACCGTTATCACTCCCACGTCAAATAAAGATTAACAACTTAATTTTGGATGTAATAGTTGAAGATGTACAGCCATTTTCTATTATTAATGACACTGGTTTTCGTAAACTCGTGTTGGGTCTCGAACCATCTTATGTGTTTCCATCAAGAACAACATTTAGTACAATTTTTCTTATGGAAAAATATAATAAAGCGAAAGAATCAATACTGGATATCTTACAAGAAGCTAAAACTATATCATTAACAACAGATATGTGGACTTCTAATGCTAATGAAAGCTATTTGGCTGTGACAGCACATTTCATATCCCAAAATTGGAAATTTAACTCCTGTTTGCTTAGCTGCGTGGAATGTAGGTTCCAGCATACCTCAGAAAATTTGGCAGCAGAAATTAAGGTATATAATTAAGGCAAATAATTTTGGTTTTTATGCTATTTTACAAAACGTAATTCTTACAGCGAATAATAGATGAATGGCGTTTGACTAATAAAATATTTGCTGTAACAACAGACAATGCAGCAAATATTATACGTGCTGTTACTTTGTGTGGATGGTGTCATGTTCCATGCTTCGCTCACACATTAAATTTAATAATTCAAAAAGGCTTAAAAAATATTGAGCATATTAGACTAAAATCAAAAAATATTGCTGAGTACTTTAACCGAAGTACGTTAGCAATACTAAACTTCAAGCGCAACAGAAGTTGTCCTTAAATTCAACAGTTTTAAAATTAAAAAATGATTGCCCAACTAGGTGGAATTCAACCTGTTATATGTTCGATAGGATTATAAAAATAACTGAAGCTATATCCGCTACTATTGGTATTTTACGCATTCCATTGGAGGCCCTAACGGAAAATGATTGCTGTATTATAAAAGAAATTTTAAATATTTTAAAACCATTCGAACAAATTACGACGGAAATGAGCTCAGAAAATAATGTCACTCTATCTAAAGTAATTAATATTGTACGAGCATTGAATGCGGTTGTAACCAAACTTTCTAAGGAAATAACATCAATAGAAGGGAAATAAATGGCTGAAACACTTAAGGACTCTATTTCCACTAGATTTGTTAATTTGGAAGGCAACTCGTTAATGGCGACAGCAACGTTTCTGGACCCCAGGTTTAAAAAAAAAGCCTTTTCAAGTGATATCGCCTTTCAAACTATAAAACAAAGAGTTCAAAGTGAAATAACTGCTCTTATTAATAATAAGAATATATCGAATGAAAGGCTATGCAATGAATCCAGGAGTACTTCAAGAAACGATGACGAGGATTTAGTTTGGCAAGATTTTGATGACTCCTTGGTGGGTAGTCAAACTCAAACTCCAACTGCCTTAGCTATAATCGAGATACGAATGTACTTAGAGGAGCCATTAGTTGATCGAAAATCAAATCCACTTGAATGGTGGAAGCTAGCAAGAACTAGCAAGAAAATATTTATATCAATTCTAGCTACTTCAGTTCCTTCAGAACGAATTTTTTCGAAAAGCGGACAATTAATATCAGACCGGAGAAGCAGGTTAAAAAGCTCAAAAATTCAACAACTCATGTTTTTGAATAAAAACAAAGAATTCTTAAAATAATTTTTATTACTAATATACATACATTATTTCATATATATATATATAAGTGACATTAAGCTCTCTCCCAACATCATTAAATTGAACAAAAAAGAACTTGCTGCGCTAAGCAGGTAAAACCTTTTTTTAGTTAGTAGAAGTTAAGCTTGCATCGTGCAAAGTACTAATAAAGTTTTTATATAAAAAATAAAAAAATCGTTTTTATTAAAAATTGTCACTGGCGCAGTCGGCAGGATGTTTGTTGTAAATAGTGATCATCGCCCACTTCAGTGGCTTCACAACTTAAAAGAACCCAACTCTAAACTGCAAAGGTGGAAATGGAAACTAAATGAATATGATTTCACTGTGAAGTATATTCCAGGGAGAGAAAATCATGTGGCAGATTCTCTGTCACGTATTCAAATTGAAGAATGTAATTTTGATGAAATTCCATCTGATATTGCCACCATTCATTCTACATCAGATAGTCAAAACTTTATCCCAATTGCGGAAAGACCACTCAATGTCTTTAAAAGACAGTTGAGATTAATAAGATCTAATGAAAATAGTACACATGTAGAGCATATATTCAAAAATTGTGTTACCACAATTAAATATATAGAATTAAATACTGAACAAACAAAAGACATTATAAAGTCAATTTTACTAACTAATACCATGGCTATTTTTATGCCAAATAATGAAGACTTTTTAAGATTTCAAAATATTTTCAAAACCTTGGTTTGCAATAGACGTCATAAGATTCTGAGAGCAAGTAAGGAACTGGAAAATATCCCTAATTACACCGACTTTAAAACTAAAATTCTTGAAATCCACTTAGAAGGCTTCATCAAGGAATTGAAAAAATTATATATCAATTCAAGAAAAGATATTATTTTCCTAACTATTTTAAAGAAATTACTAAAATCATCAATGAATGTGATTTGTGCAATCGATGCAAATATGACCACGTTGCAAACAAAATGCCATTTAAAATCACTCCTCCAGTTTACGAAATTTGAGAAAAATATGTGATAGATTTCTGGGAATGGGAAAAAAAACATTTTCTAACATGTATAGATTTGTACTCAAAATTCAGTACAATTGAAGAAGTACAAGCATTAAATTGGCTAGAAACAAAGAGAGCTCTTATTAAAATATTTAACACAATGGGACCTCCTAAAGTATTGAAAATTGACCAAGATCAAGGCATTAATAACGTCAATATCAAAGAATGGTGTAATGAATTAAATATTAAAATAGAAGTTTGTACTGGAAAAACCGGTATAGCAGACATTGAACGTTTCCATAAAACCTTGAATGAAAAACTTAGAATAATTAACACCTCAGATGACAGGGAACTAAAATATGTTCAATTCGAACAATCCGTTTTCACATATAATCACACCATAATACATTCTACTACTGGTCAAACTCCATATAACATATTTTTTAACCGATTACCTCCAGAATTTGACTCACAACTCATTAAAGAAAATAGAATTAACAATTTAAATAAAACACGAAAAGAAAATTCGATAAATATTGGTTTAATCAACGCTGAAAATGTGAGAAAACGTCTTGATAAAACAAAAAATCCATTTAAGCAAGTAGCATTAGTTCGAGCTGATAGTGACAATGAACACTTTTTAGTTAAATTCAAAAACAAGAATATAAGAAAATATAAAAGTCAATTTAAACGAAAAAAAAAAATTTTAAAATAGTCACAAATGAAATTGTATTGTATAAATTTATATCGATTAAAACGAATACTGTTATTATAATCATCTCTTATAAAATATATTTGTAAACTATTAAAATGGATTAAAAAAAAATTAAAATAGATTATATTAATATAATTAACGTATATTTTAAAAAAAAAAAAAGAAGAAAATTTGAAGAAATTAATGTCATAAATGAAATTGTATTTTTTTTTATTATTTTTATATATTGTATTGTATAAATTTATATCAATTAAAACAGATATTATTATTACAACTATCCTTTATAAAATATAATATAAAATATTATAAAATATATGAAATATTATGTGTATTTAACGCAATAGGAATATTGCTTATTTTTAAGGTGGGAGGAGTGACATTAAGCTCTCTCCCAACATCATTAAATTGAACAAAAAAGAACTTGCTGCGCTAAGCAGGTAAAACCTTTTTTTAGTTAGTAGAAGTTAAGCTTGCATCGTGCAAAGTACTAATAAAGTTTTTATATAAAAAATAAAAAAATCGTTTTTATTAAAAATTGTCACTTATATATATATATAATATAATATAATTAAAGCTGTTAAAGCAATCAAACAACGCGTTAAATGTTTTCTTGATATAATATGTTAATATAATATATTATTTATTATTTTTATTATTATTGTTTATTAATTCAATAAATTTATACAGCACTTACAGAAATTATGGAATTTTACTTAAAATCAAAATTTACAATAATATGCAATATAATTTAATATACATGCTTTAAAAAATTCCCCTATATGCCGAAACAATAGCATTGAAACTTTGGTAACGAAACCGCAGTAACGAAAGCGCAGTAACGAATATTGAGTAACTAATACTGAGTAACGAATACATACTCGAAAAGTAACGGGTAGGTACGAATACCCAAAAGTAACGAAGTTTGGCACCACTATTGTGGAATATATGGCACTTGGTCTCAGCGTGCTCATATTCTGCAGCATAATCGATCGATATTTATTCAGAAGAAATACACACCGTCACAGGATTGGTACACCCCACCCACAACCACGAAGACGAGTTCAAGAGCAACATGCAATGTCCGAGTTCGAAGTAGCAGAATAGGATTGACTATTGATATATATTTCAGATTTATTCTATTATTTTTGTTTTGTTGTCAAAGCAAATTTTTATTCTTATAATGTTAATGACTTGATGTCTTAGCCTTGAACGGTGGGTTAAGATATCAAAATTGATCAAAACAACAACAACAGTTGTATATCACACGAGCACACTTTGCTCGTCATATGAAACTGCAGATAAGCCATGCATTTAGCATGTGCAATTCTTTAATATAGAGCATTGTGAGAAATTAAAATTTGCTTGTGAAAGGTCAGTATTGTACTTATTAAATAATAATTATGTTTGTAAAGCAAGCTGGTATATGGACTTAGTTCAAGGTTAAAAGAAAATAAGTTTATAAGCATATACCAGGTTGCTAAGGAAATTACGCAAGTAATATTCTTATTTGTCAATGCATACAATTTCCACGACTAAGCTGAGCGATATCTAATTGCTACTTTAATGCAGCTTAAGGTATAGAGCATTATCGTGGGAAATGTATGTATCAACACCTTGCCTTATTTGTATAAAAGCACAACATTTTCTAATAAACAGGCATTCAATACCAAACATTCCTTGAGTTTTAATTAGTTCAAGTGCTCATTAAAACTTAAACGCAAATAGGTTCAAGTGCCTACACTGAACCAAATTTGTACACGATATTTTACGAAAAGATTTCATAAAAGTTCATATCGTATTTTTCATAAAATTTCAGAAAAACTACATAGAATATATGTAGTTTTTCTTAAACCAATTATTGTTGTGTGAAAAATTTCATAGATTTTATGAACAGGCTGTCATAAAATAATGTTCGTGAATTTTTCATGGTGCATGTGAAAAAATTCAAAGAATCTATGAAATATATATTCTAAGATAATAATTGATTTGTGTATGAAGCTTTTCTTAAATTTTATGAAAGAATTCAGAAAATATTCATAAAATTTTGATTGCTGTGCACTGTTTTGACAGAAATTTTGAAAGTTTGCATATTCTTTCTCTTTCTCTTTTCCTTTTTTAATTGCCTATTACGTTCTCATTTAGAGCAGATGAGCAAACTCAGTCTGATTCTATGCGCTGTTGTGTTAAGTGGCAGTTTTCTGTGCGTTTTATTATCGGTAAAATTTTTTATAAATAAACAATTTAAAAAATGGAAAAGTGTTTTTTGTGCAAACATAAATTAATTAACGTGGAGAAATTATTATTACATTTAAAAATTCAGCACAAATTAAAGCAATTTGATGATTATCGTTGCTTGCATTGTGGACAAGTTTTTGGGCGCACTTTCAGCTATAAGCGTCATCTATTAAGGCATGGCGCCAATGAAAAGAAAAAGTCTGCGGCTACATCACCACGCAAACTGACAACAACAAAAGCAACAATAACAACAACAGCTATTACTACTGCAACAACGAATAATGTTGCTGCGTCGCATTTATCAGAAAAAAATGATAGCAATTGTGAAATTGCAGATTTAAATTTTGACGAAGCAGAACGTGAAAATAATAATAATAACATTACTCAGTTGGACTTTCGAGAAAATGTTTTAAAATTCGTTCTGAATTTATACGCTAAATCAAACCTAACCCGCAAAGATGTCATAGACATTCAAGAATCCATACAGAATTTGCTATTAACGCCAATATT